GTATGCGTTCTACAGGTTGGATGGGGAGCATGTTGTCTTTGGCAAGGTAATTCAAGGCATGGACGCTGTGTATGCAATTGAAGGCGGGGCTGGAACCTACAGCGGAAAACCCAGAAAGAAGGTTACTATTGCTGAATCTGGAGAGATACCCCAGAGCCAGTGGGATGAGGAAAGTTGACACTTTTTACAAAGAATTTTTACTTTGAGCTTACTAAATTGATTCTTAGATGACTGATACACTTTTGCCCCCTTTTACCAAAGTTTCACTAGGCTTGGGCTTTTCTCCTGGATATATTACAGTTTCTTTTTTTGTAATTGGCAGCAGTTGTTAATACAAAACATGTTTGTTGTAGAGGAAGTGAGGAACCGAATAGAAACCATCGTTATTTTTTTTCGTTTGCCTCCATTTTCCCCAGGCTTGTATATTTGACTTTCATTCTGAAGTTTGCTTTTGAAGGCATTGAAGTAGCTTCAAGGGACAAGCATTTATTGTTGTCAATATGACTTCCCATTTGTTCTTGCCATGAGCTTATGAAACCATGTAAACGCTGATATTATGTGAGAAAGTTTAGATAAGAGTTGGTGCGTGTAATATTATTACTCATGTGTAACACATTGGACGGTGACATGTTTACATAGTTTCTTGAATTCTGTGTGTAAATCGACACTCGAGACCGATCACAAGAATATTTTTTTTCTTCTCTTTTTTCCTCTCATCTAATTTGCAGCTAAATCACACTTGATACTAGGTCCTACGACTAATCACAACAAAATAATGAAGATTTTTGAAAATAACATATGAATAGGACCATTAAGTTGTCCTCATATCTAAACATAAACCATATCATTATCAAGATGTTGAGTTAAAAGTTGTTGGATGCATGTTATTAAACGAATGCATATATTTATAGGACAATCCGATCAGACAGACTCATCAAAGTTGAAAACTTGAAACCAATTCATGTCCCGGCAGTTATGCCTCCCAGGGATATCAAGGACAGAAGCTCAAATGTTTCAGAAAACACACTTGACTTTTTAATTAAATTTCGATGTTTTTTTTAAATAACGTTTTTAACGAGCAAATTTTAAAAAGGAATGTCTAAAAGTAAGAGTCTCTCCCCTACTAAAGTCCACTGTTCCGAACCGACCAAAATTTGCATTTGGGAATTGCCAACTCATACTCTCTGTAGGCTTATCATCCTCATCATCATCTACTACTCCACGCACTCTCAGCTTAACAGTCAACAAAACCAAAATGATCCTCCTTCTCCACCTTACCTAAACCCAAACCCCAACCACCATCTCCTTCTCTCTTTCTGAGCTCCGATGGGCAGCTCTGAAGAACCCAACAGGCCCATCTCCTTCTTCGACTCGTCGTCTCCCTCCGCACCCCTCCTCTCCAAGCCCCCCAACCCAATCGACGACCCACCGCCGCCACCGCCATCCTCACCCCCGTCTTACACCGACCAACCCGATTCAGAATCCGACCCGACGCAGTATCTCCAGATCTCCTACAACCACGGCCCACGCCCTTTCAAAGACCTACCCTTTCTAATCATCTTCGTCCTTTTCGTCCTCGCCACCTTCGCCTTCGGAATCTTCTCCGTCTTTCACCGGAACACCAGTTACTCCAACCTCTCCTCCTTCGTCTACGACTCTGACTCCACCTCTTGCGTCAAAAACGACACTTTGACCCATCACCCCAACTGGGTCCTCCTCACTTTCTCTTCTTCCTCTTCGTCTTTTCTCAAAGATTTAACATGGACCCTCGTAATTACGTTGATTTTGAGCTTGCCCATTTGCATCAGCTTGCTGTTGCTTCTCAAGCACTATGCTAAGCAAGTTGTCTATGTCTTTCTCCCCTTCTTCATTGTGTTCCCAATTTTCTTCAACGTGTATTGGTTCGTTGCTTGTACTCTCAGCTCAACTTGCAGCGATGCATTGCCTTTACTTTACAGAATTTTGGTTTTGATATTTGTGTTTTTGGTAATTGGGGTCCTTGTGTGGATACTTGTTGTCAATTGGCATCGAATTGAGCTCACTGTGAGTATAATTGGGGTGGCCTCCGATGCGCTTTCGAGGAACTTGGGTTTGTTTGGGGTCTTGCCATGTTTGACTCTAGCATTGGTGGTTTACTATGCTCCCATTGTTGTGTTCTTGGTGTTTGCGAGGTTGAATGGGAAGATTGTGCCCCGAGAATCGAACGATGTGTATACCTGTGTGTGGAAGCAAGATGGCTGGGTGCCTGCTTATTATGCATTGGCAATTCTCACTATGTTGTGGTCTCTAACGACTATGGTGGAAGCTCAGGTGTATGTGATTAGTGGGACTGTTGCTCAGTGGTACTTCACGAAGGAGGATTCAACTCCAAGGCGGATTATTAGAAGTTCTTTAAGGTGAACTATTTATTGCTACTTTCTTTTGTCTTTCCTCTATGTTTAGAGTGATTTATATAAGTTCATATATATCTTTGCTATTCTTGAAGGTAGTTGAAACTTGCAATTGAAATGTACACTGCTCCAAACTAGATGAAAAAGAGTAGTAGAACTCTGTAAAGTTGGTGATTCACTCTGTTGAATTTCAATAGGCTAGGAAAACACGGTCAATTTACTTGCAAACAATGTATGTATGTATATAAATCCCTTGTAGGGAAGGTAATCTGTATACATTTTTGTCCGGGATGCCGGTGGGCCACCAATTTGTTTTCTAAGTTCCACCTATTCTGAACCAACCCGTCAGAATGACTATATTGTCTCTAATGTAAATATTTTCCAATTGTGATATAGATACTAGGCAATCTTTGTTTAGCTTGTCTTCATTGAGTCAGATGGGTACCTGCTTCTTGTTTTTACAAATTTGTTTTCTTGATACAATTATTCGTACATTTCAATCTTGTTTTTATTATTTGTTTTGTCCGTGAATCAAATCATATGCTTGTGAGAATAGTAATCTAGTCAATATGATGTTCTTTTTATCTTCCTCTTTTTTTTGGGGGGAATTGGTTGACATATGAATCACAACCAAGATTTATGCATTACTGTACATTTCATTTGTGTTCATGATAAGATCTTCCTTTCTCATGTTCCTGTAAACACTTGCAGAAATGCCTTTGGCCCCTCTTTTGGCACAGTATGTGTATCTGGATTGCTTTTAGCTGTTGTTCGAGTGGTGCGTGCCGTGGTTGATGGTGCAAGACGAGAGGGTGCACCCGGAATGATGAATTTTTTATTACGCTGCTGTGTTAATGCCTTATTCTCAGCGATTGACTTCCTCAACAAGTTTACAATCAACTTTGCAGCAATAACTGGTGAAGCTTACTGTTCTTCTGCAAGGATGACATATGAGCTTCTAAAACGTAATCTTCTCTCTGCGGTGTTCGTAGAAACCATCTCCACTCGTCTACTGGCTGGAATTGTTTTTGTACTCTCAGCAATATATGCAATTGCGGTATGTGTCTTTTCAAATCTCAATCATTCAGCATTCCATTGATTAGTGCATTATGTGTGGTATGTAAGGAACCCATCCATATATTGAACATTTGAAATTCTTGCAAGTTAGTAAAGGCTTTGCTTAGATCTCCTAATGCAATTAATGACATGTGACATTCTTACCTTTTAGTCCTCCTCCGTTGCACTTTTCGGTGTGGCCTGGCTGAGCAAAGAGAGTTGAGGGTTCTCTTTTAGTTGCATCATCTTTCTTTCATTTGCTTTTTTCCTTAATATCTCCTGATAATAGATTTGCATCAACAGGTGTGTGCTATCTTAAAGGGCGTAAGCAATCTCGGGGTTGATTCGTACTTTGTGGCTTTGCTGGCATGGGTGTTGCTGATCTTGGTACTGGGTTTCTTTGTCCATGTGCTGGACAATGTAATTGACACCGTGTACGTGTGCTATGCCATAGATAGGGACAGAGGTGAGGTTTGTAAACAGGAAGTTCATGAGGTTTACGTTCACTTACCGATTAGTCGAAACCATAGACCATCATCTATCATCTCCAGAACTCTGGGTGTATAAATTATCCTTGGATTTCAATCTTGTATTATTAATTTGTTCCGTGTATCAAGTTAGAATTGCCTGCCCGCAAATTGTGCATACCTTTGAGTGTTGCCTTGTACAATTTCTGAGGTTTCATCAATAAAGAAAAAAATTCCAGGCCAGTTTGAGCATCAAGCCAACTATGAACCTGTCAACCTGGTTCTTGAATCAATTGCTCCTGTGTAGGATGTAGAATACATATGAACCCCACATCTCCATGAACACCATAATCCAATAAGTATAGGTTCCTTAGTAGGCGGCAGTTCCTATTTGATAATCTTCATGGCATTTCTGAGGCAGAGGGGCTTAATCTTACCCAAGTTAATTTAAGCACTGTGATCCCATTTGGTTGATATTTAGCGGAGTTTGATGGCTTGGTGGCTTGGTCTGGACTTAGACTAGTTCAATGAAATTGGTTTTGATTGAGGTTTGGTGAACTTCTTTGAATGATAATTTACAAATTTAAACCCGGCTATGAAATTGTGACCCCGTCGTCAATGATTTACAATTTTTTTTTTAATTTCTAAACCACCTTAACTTACGGAGGAGGGGATCGAACTCGAGTGCAAGGACACTATTTTGGCCAACCGGCCTAACCCAAATGTATATCTTGTATTTACAAATTTAAACCATGCTCTAAAATAAAGAACCCGTTAATTAGTTGGGAGTTTCACTAAAACACCCAAAATGGGGGTTGAAATTATAAAAAAACCAAAGCACTATTTAAACATATAAACACACCCAAAACTCATCATTACACACACTCAAAACTCATTTATAAATACACCCAAAAAGTTGACTTTGGGGTTGATTTTGGGTGTGTTTCTATGTTTAAATAGTGCTTGAATTTTTTTATAAATACATGTCTAGGATTGGGTTTATTTATAAATTTGTATAATTAGTTTTCGTATTGAAATATAAAATCGTACTATTTATGGAGTGACTTCTTGATAAATAAAAGAAATAAATAACTGAAAAGAAGCATAACATACAAAATACAAATCCATTTTGGGAGACACTGTAACTTTACGCATTTACAGAAAACACTGCGATACCTTCTTTGAGTTGTGAAGCCAACGTTCAACAAACTCGCAATCATGGTTCTCGAGGTTAGCCATCTTCTTCTTCGAAAGTTCAGATCTTTAGGGTTTCTATACGATATTGTATGATGATTATACTTAAATTTGATGAATTCTCAGGCGACTATGATCTGCGTCGACAATTCAGAATGGATGCGGAACGGCGATTACTCTCCGTCCAGATTACAAGCTCAAGCTGACGCTATTAATCTCATTTGTGGTGCCAAAACCCAGGTTCTTTTTCTCTTAATCAAGTTCTTCCCTTTACGAATTTTTGGTACCAGTTCAATTTTTTTCAATAATGGTGTTTGTAATTGGAGTAGGCCAATCCGGAGAATACAGTTGGGGTATTAACAATGGCGGGCAAAGGGGTTCGCGTGTTGGCCACTCCAACCTCTGATCTTGGCAGGATTTTGGCTTGCATGCACGGTATTTTCATTCATTACTAATTTGCTTGTGTTATATGATTCTGATTGGAAAACTTTATATGTTTGCCTCGCTTATAGAGTCAAATAGCTGATAAAAATATATCTTTGAAGCAGTTAAGAATGGTTTTAGTTGAGTATAAATGATCTTGCTCAAGGGGGGCATTGGTATTTAGAAAAGCCATATGGGGAGCACAAGATAATAATTGAATGTTGTTACTTTTGGTTTTAAAGACATAGTTGAAAGGGCTTACTACTAGATAATATCTATGCATTTGAGATTGGGTCTTACTATATACACTGAGAAAGTAACAAGAGATGGTTAGGCCTCTGCTTGACTATGATTCATTTTCTTTTTTATGCTGGTTGTTAATATTTTAGTTTAATGGGTACTCTCTCCTTTCTTCTTATTTTTCTATCTCTAATTCCTTATATATAGGTCTGGAGATGGGAGGTGAGATGAACATAACAGCTGCGATCCAAGTAGCTCAGTTGGCTCTTAAGCATCGCCAAAACAAAAACCAACAGCAGCGGATTATAGTTTTTGCTGGGAGGTACAGATAGTGCTGACTTCTGACTTGCCCCTCTCCTTTTTTCTTTGTATTTTCTTGCTGACCTCTAACTTATTTACTGCCTGTTCAGCCCTGTCAAATATGAAAAGAAGGTGTTGGAAACAATTGGAAAGAAACTGAAAAAGAACAGTGTTGCTCTTGATATTGTTGATTTCGGTGAAGAGGATGATGGGAAGCCAGAGAAGCTGGAGGCCCTTCTGTCTGCTGTTAATAACAATGACAGCAGTCATATAGTACATGTCCCTCCTGGTCCAAATGCTCTCTCTGATGTTCTTATAAGGTGCAGTTTTTAATTTTTGTCCATGTCTGTTTATATGTAAGCGTATAACCAATTTTAAATTTATGAGTCACTGGAACTAATTGGAATATATGTTTAGATTCATGATACTGTTTATAAAAACGATGCATGTTAAACGAAGGAAGAACAGAAAAGTGAGAATAAGAGGTATTGAAAAGACGAGGAGAATTTGTGGAAGAATATGTATATAAGCTCAAAGTATTATTTGCCAAATTAATTTTCAGAAATTAATAGGCATAAGTTTCTAATTTTCTTTCTATCTTCACATATGTTTTACGTGTCATGGCCAATTTTTGCTTGTTGAATAACACAGTGAACACATCACACCAGATCACTCTTATTATATGTCTCCAGTGATGATTTTTCCCCCTATTTTATGGCAGTACACCTGTATTCACTGGCGACGGAGAAGGAGGTAGTGGCTTTGCAGTGGCAGCAGCAGCAGCAACTGCGGCTGCTATTGGTGGTGGTTCTGGCTACGATTTTGGTGTAGATCCCAATATTGATCCTGAGCTCGCTCTTGCCCTTAGAGTTTCTATGGAGGAGGAAAGGGCTAGGCAAGAAGCTGCTGCCAAAAGAGCTGCTGAAGAAGCTGGTAGACAAGAAAAAGGAGAGGAACCATCATCCAAATCAGAGGATGTAACCATGACAGATCAAGCCAATGTTTCTTCTTCCAATGAGGATAAGAAACTTACTGATAATGCGGTTGGTTTCAATTTGCTTGTGTAGTTCTTAAAGTCTATATAATTGTTGGTTTTTATGTCATCATTAGTTATCATTTAAAGAACTGCTGTAATCCAAATTGGCCTTGTCTCGTGATATGTGTGATAGGTTGATGAGAATGACTTGCTGAAGGAGGCTCTTGCAATGTCAATGAATATCTCTGGAACTGGTCATTCAGCAGGTGATACTGAGATGTCAGAGGCAACTAGTGGAGATCAGGAGTTGGCTTTAGGTGGGTTTTTCTATTTCGTATATCTCAAATTATTTAGTTGTGTGTGGTAACTTTAGTTTCTTGTACTTGATTACTTGTGGAAATTGATGTACAATGTGTTTGTGTTTATTCCATTTCATGCACAATTGAGGGAACCCTCAAGAAAGCTTAATTAAGGGACGGTGCCACTCCGTATTGTATTTCAATGACATTAAGTATTATTGTGCAATTATTCCTTTCATTTGTACAAGTATTCTTGTACGATTTTTGAAGGTCACAATCCTTTCATTTTAATAGATTCTAGTTTATCTCTACAACTATTTGACTTCATATTCCTCCTTTTTTTCCTTTTGATAAGCAACTTGATAGCAATACCATCAGATGAATAAGCCATTCATAGGTTTATACTTGGCAGTTCTTTCTCTTTACATGTTGAGTGGTCTACTTTCTTCATGTGTTCCACTTTGGGCTGTTCTTACTAGTGGTATCCTTTACTGAATCCCAAATCTATGAGTTATGAGTTCATGTAATTCATAGTCATTGCCATGGACCGCTTAGCTGCCCCGGGACTAATTTTGTGAAGTTGGGCATCAGAATGTGATCACCTATGGTGTGGCTTTTTATTGATTGATTTTTATGTTTTACCTTGTGTCTGGTTAATATGGAATTTGATTTGCCAATATTCGGAACATTGACAGAGAAATGTGATAATATTTGTTATTTTTGCATGCTTATTATATCTTTGCTGCATGCAGCTCTTCAAATGTCCATGCAGGAAAGTGCCGGAGAGCCCTCATCCCAGTCTGATGTCAGCAAGGTGTTGGAGGACCAGTCTTTTCTTTCATCCATCCTTGAATCAGTATGTCCAGTTGAACCTAGCCTGTGGTACTATATGTATAGCTATGTTTCTGATTTTCTGATATGTTATTTTTTCCTTACAGCTTCCGGGAGTTGATCCCAATGATCCTTCAGTGAAAGATCTTCTTGCATCTCTGAAGAATCAGTCCGAGGTATGTTCACAAACCTTACATTTCATGGGTAACGGGTTACGACTCTGATTATTCTATGTCATAAAGTTCATCTTTTGACTTGGTGTTAAGATCTGTTATTGCGAGTTTCTAGATCTACCAACTAATGATAGTTTTTCCGTTCCTGTAATCGCTAGTCCCCACAAAAGGATGAAGAAGAACCATCAAACAAGGGCAAATGAAAATGTTACTAGATCAACTTTTGTATCTTCGAAGTAAGCATTCATATTCAGAATCCAATTCTAACTATGATGACGCCTTTTCTGTGTTGACCTAGATTGATTTTCTCAGAAGCATCTGTTTCCTCTGTCGCAGATCAATGAACTATTCGTTCCAAGGGAAGGCTTATTTATGTTGTGGGAAGATGATACAGAAACAGATGCAGATTAGGATTTCTGAGATTATGTTACAAGTTAATCAAGTTATGCTGCATTTCAATTCATGTTTTTTGTAATGTAAACAATGGGATGAACTGTGGCAAACTTCATGGCGTCATGTATGGTTGTTTTAATTGACAAAAAGGGAGAGAAGAAAAGAACAAATAGATTTCCAGATGCTTTAACTTTGCTCCTTCATAATTTGGTTGTTCGCAATCATTCAGCTGTTCAATCAAATTTACGCCTTCATTTAACAGCTCATCGAAACCACTCTTCTTATTGGCTTCTAAAATAATGGCTACTTGGTATGGATGCCTTTTCTTTTGGAGCCTCCAATCTAAAGCTTTGCTTCTCATTGTTTAGATGTCATTTTTTTGGTGCTTAGGCCCCCTTACCCGTGAGACGAACTTGGTCTCTGCAGGAGCTTTTAGAGCCTTAACAAGAACTTTCTAATGCATGGAGGCTTGCATTTGGTAACCGTTGTAGAACTCTTGATTACTTTTTCAATGCAAAGGTCTTAAAGAATTTTAAAAGCTGATCCAGCCACCATGTTTGACCTTCTTCTGTGGCCTTATCCCTGGCTTTCGCATAGATTTGCTGGCTAGCTGGTTTTGCATGAAAATTATATTTGCCTCTATAATTGCTAGATTTTTTTATATATATAATAGAAGCGATAGTTTAAACTACTATAAATTAATTTACGGAGATGATGATTCAAATTTTAGCGCAAAAAGGCGCGTTCACTGTCCTAACCAACTTGCTTAACTCACGTCTGCCTCTGTTGATAGTTGGGTACGCATTATGCCATCAGATCAATGTGAACCACCATTTAAGCACTTCCATTAAAAAGAAGCTGAGATTTGTTGAAATGGTATCAAATCCAGGTCATATTATTCATAACCTTGCATTGAGCATGCGTACATATACATGGGGCCTATAAACTGAGACCCTAGAAAACAAATGAGCCACACCCACAAGTTGTGGGGCTGATGGAGCTTTTTGTCAATGGGCAGGGTCTTTCATATGAAAAGGGCATGTTCCCCCATACACGTCCATCCATGCATTTCCTCTGCTTGTATGCAAATTTTCCTGGATTTTAGTGCTTGGTATTTTCTACTCTTTCTATCTCTCAGATGTGTCATGTTTATCACAAATATTAGGTGTGGATTTTGCTCCATTATTTTATGGGATGAATGTTGGGTTGTTGCTCCTATCGTCAACAGTTTTTAAAGACAAATTTACGGAAGAACTCAAGCTTTGCAATAATTATGAATATAAAAACAAGCAGAATATGATAAAACAAGTGGGCACTGGGCAGGCAAGTGAACCTAACCAGAAGAAGAAAAAAAACTCTGATTGGAGGCACATACATTGACTCAGTTTCACCTGAGAAAATCTATTCTTTTTTCATTTTTTTATCTGTAGTCCCCCCCTTCCCTTCTTTTACTGCATAAGGTGATGAATTCTCTTTCTTTTTCTCCTTTGCTTTCACGCAAAGACTCATAGAAGAACACAAAGATATTTAGATTGAATGGGAGATTGGGATGTGGGTGTGCGGTCCAATATGGGACCAGCATACCATCTATATGGGTTCGTTTTAAGAAAATTTATATATTTAGTTATAATTTGATCACATTGACCAGCTTGTATATAGGTCAGTATGGTATTTAAGTAATTGGGTTAATGAACCTTGCACTAATTTGCTATTGCAGTTTGTGCTCCGATCGTTTCTTTTGCTACTGTAATTTAGGGTATGGACGGTGTGTTTATACTTTAGGATATAGGATTAATAAATATACACGTGTGTTAACACTACGTCAACATCATGTTACATGCCATTACGATCACACCGAGGAATTACTTGTTGGAAAAGGACCTTGTACCCTCAGTTTTCCATATACAATTATTTGCACTATAAATTACTGGAAATGGGGTAAGAATTCAAGTTTAACTGCAGACAATGAGTATATAAAGTCCATTGCATGATATGAGTGAGAAAGAATTAAATTTCAACCAAGTCTGGTACTTTTTTCCCCTTAGCACCAATAGAACAAATTCATTGGATAACGAAGACAATTAATGGTTGGGATAAAATTTATGCCTTCAAATAGACAGATACTAAAAGCTAAAGAAAATTTTGGAAAGTCATTAAGCTGGAGGTATGTTGCCTTAAGCTGCATGTACTACTCCTTTCGTAACACCTTCCTAACATTCTTTGTATCGTTCTAATTTTATCGGATGACATCTTACGATGGTCCTGATCGACTCTCAAATAAAACCCGAAAATAAAAAAACTTGTGATTGGTTAAAATATGAAGTTACATACAGACATTTGGGTGCAAAATACCAACATGGTGAAAAAAACTCACCTGGAGGGGGAGACAAGGGCCCGAGTGTAACCAACTCGACGACAAACTAAATCTACTAATTTAAGGGCAACTTGGTCATTGAAAATGAGTGTGCACAGCATAGATAGATCTAGCATGGAGAAAGTTGTAATATAAGTGAACATTAATGGGCATTTGAGCAACCCCCCTTTATATAAAGAGCAAAGCACAACTTTGAAGACTCAGCCTCAGAGTTTTAGCAGAGCAGCAGCAGCAGACCCCCTTTCTTCAATTTCAAGTTTTCAACAACCATGGCAATGGCATTCAAGATGGTACAAAGTCAATTAATTTCTTTGAATATATTGCTTCTTCATTTTTAAATTTCAATAAATATAATTTGCTCTCAATTTTTAGCTGAACCCTGAAGAATGCTGATGGGATTCTTCTAACTTGTGGGTTTTAATCTGTTGTGGCAATTATAGGCTACAACTGGGATGTGGGTTACAGATGAGTGCAAGAGCTCATTCATGGAGATGAAATGGAAGAAGGTCCACAGGTACATAGTGTTCAAGATTGATGAAGGATCAAGGCTGGTCACTGTTGATAAGGTTGGAGGGCCTGGTGAGAGCTATGATGATCTGGCAGCCTCCTTGCCCAAAGATGATTGCAGATATGCTGTCTTTGACTTTGATTTTGTCACTGTTGATAATTGCAGGAAGAGCAAACTCTTCTTCATTGCTTGGTCAGTTTATTTTGTCATCATTTCTATTTCTTTTTTAATTTCCATGCTCATCATCAAGATCAAAATTTGTATAATAATGTTTTAATTTTGTCTGTCTTCTGGTAATCATTGAAATTGTACCTAATTAGGCCTACCTAATTTTGGATTTCTGATAAAATATTTGCTTACATGGGGACATCAGAAATTAAACCCTTTTTTTCATTTTGGAAAATGGGTTATTCTCCTAATGATGATTTATGCAGTAAAGCATTTTGTATTATGGGGGATTTAGAGGTGATGGAAATTTGGATTTTTTTGGCAGGTCACCAAGTGCATCAAGAATTAGGGCAAAAATTCTGTATGCAACCTCCAAAGCTGGGCTGAGGAGAGTTCTGGATGGCATCAGCTATGAACTCCAGGCCACTGATCCAACTGAGATGGGGATGGATGTGATCAAGGACAGAGCCAAATAATTGTGATTAGAGCAGCTTAATTATGTTCTGGGAATCTTACTTTATATTTAATAACTCCAACCACATGGTTTTTTTTTTGTTTCTTTTTCTTCTTTCTTGTTGGTGGCATCTTTTAATTTTCACCTTGTCTAGATTTTTGGCACTAATGTAAGTTAATCCTCTAATTTTTGTAATAATAATAATTGTGTGCTGCTAATTAACCACAAAGTACTTGTTCATGTAATTACTTTGTCTTGGAGAAAAGGTGGATTGGATTGGATTGGATTGGTGTAACTTTCAAATGAATGTTATATGTGCCTTTGTGATTTTGATGCCACAACACTTAATGTATGCATGCCTTTCTGAGAGAATAAATGAGACTTTGGCAAAATGACCCTTCACTTTGTTAAACAAAAGATGGTGTTGTGTGGTGTGGTAGGTCAAACTGACCTTTCACTTTGTTTTTTCTTTTTCTTTTAATACATATCTTTTACAGAAAGTTGTAGCAAATCGTGTGGCATGATTCATTGGTTTCTATCACTTTTTTGGAACCCGTTTGCCCACAATGTTGACTACACACTCGCTTTTTGATGCTTTGATCTTTGATGGGTAAGTCTAAACTTAATCGGATATGATTTGATCTTTGAGGTATGAGGGACATAAGTACTTCCCCGCTCTTATCATCAAAAGGGTGGATCCAAAATAACATGATAATCCTGTATAGAAACGTTGCGGGCCGGGACAGTTGTCATGAACTACTCGTCGTTCACTCATGACTCACGGCTAGTTGTAATTTGTAAACGACACGGATAATTGTCATGAGTGAACGACTTATAGATTTTGATGTAATGTGAACACCATGTATATCAACAGTTGTAATCTCCTTAAGTGAAACGACTTATAAATATTGATACAAATGTAAATGCTATATGCATCAACAGTTGTAGTCGGTCACTCGTGCGGGTACGAAAGAAGGTGTCTAGGAAATATTCATAATACTCTGGTGCAAAAAAATATAAACAATAGTTGCCTCTTGAAATATTCATAAGACTGTTAAAAAAGCATGGATACGAGGGTTGGGGAAGAAAGCAGGAAAGATAATGGGGATTTGATGTCATGGGCCACCGTCGAAAAACTCAATCATGTTTTGGCATCTTCTTGTTAACTTTATCCTCTGAAATTCTTATTACCACCTTCCGTTTTCGTTGTCATGATAATAATTTCTCTATTTGTTTATTACATTTGGGGCTGTTACAACCACCATCACATTGTAACACTGTTTTAATGGAGTTGCACAATTATTCCACATGATTTGAGTGGCATGCCTTGTGCTAACTCTTATGAAAAAAAAACATCGAATTTGGCGCTTTATCCGTCTTGTAACGTCTTGGTCGTATCGTTAAATTTTATTTAGTAAAATTTGCTGTTTAATTGAGACTGCTAATTTTGAGTTTGCTTCCAAAGGTATACAATTATGGAGTACTTAAAAAAGGAAGCACTGCTAATATTTTCATGTACATACTGAATTAGGAAACACTTGAAATGTGTATTAAAATTTTGAATTATTTCTGATAAAAGTGCTTTCAACAAAAACACACATAAACAAACATGCTTCCTGAAAAAATAGTTTGAGATGATTTTGTACCTATATACAGTACAATACGCGACAAAAGCCCAAAGTAAGAATTTGGATCAAAACCTCAAAGCAAGGATTGGATCAGAGCCCAAAACAAAAACACAATCCAAAACCCAAATAGCCAACCCAAGAATACAAAACCGCGAAACCCCCGCTACCGCAACTGCCACCGCCGTAAACTAACCAGGACCACCACCAACATTGGGCACCCACCAAAAACAAAACCCTATCACAGACAACCCAAACACATAAGTGAACTGAAAAGCAACACATGAGTTAACTTGCATTCTTTCAATAACACATGAGAATTTGTATCCCTCCAAAGTGCAAAACACTCTAAACAAAACGACCCATTTCATGAGTAAAACGGCACAGCCCAACCCAACGTTGAAACTTCGGACTAGTTGGGCCTACTGTAGAAACTTCAGTCCAATTACAAAAATTCGCGCCAATTACGCCTTGGACGGTGTTTCGGATCGTTGAGTCAAACAAAAACCCCAAACTCGGATTTGTCGTCGAACGTACCTGTCCGTCCAACCGCAGACAAAAACTTTCCAGCTAAGAACAAAATAAGTGTCAGCTGACGTCATCGCATTCGACACTGAGCTCGCGGGACCCACTCCGCCTGTGGGCACATGACTGAAACGAAATGATCGAGAGCGTCTGCCACGCGACCCCTTAACATGCGGCGTGTCTAGTCGCCGAACACTGGCCCAGTCAATGATCATCTCACGTTCCGAGACGCTATCATGACCGTTGGATCGAGCTGCAGGTAACAGTGTCAGTGAAAAAGCGATCCTGCAGAAAGTACTGGACCACGCGCCTACAGAGTACGTCCTCAACTACCTCTGATCACTTTGACCTTTAATTAAGCCTGTAAACATCAAAAGCAGAAGTTGGTAATTCAATTTCATTAATGTGATAAATGTGTTTTTTTCTTTTCTTATGATTATTGGTATAAAAGTTTGTTTGATTATCTTTGTCTAATAATTTTAATAATTGTTGAATTTTGCATGTGAATTTTACATGAGTAGCTGCACAATCCCAGCAGGTAAATCTCCCAATTAGCATGTATGAACGAAATTGATGAAAAGTTTATCATACAAATTATATGAGCCCAGTGCTTAATCATTTGCATGATCCAACACCACAATTGTGCAAAAAACCAAACAATAATCTAAGATTGAATTTGTTGAATTTGACAACCATTTTGGTTTTCTATTTCTGTTTCTTCATTTCCAAACGAGCTCTAAGAATTTTATTATTATTATTTTTTTTTAAGGTGTTCTCTAAGCTAAAGCTTGCTATCATGTAAACTCTTCCTGCGAAACTTATGCTTCATTCTTTTAGATTTATGAGGTCATGGCTGAAGCAATTGACAATCTTTCTGGTTTTATTTTGTGTGGTATAATTTGTACTAGAATTTGTTTTTGATTCCTCTTTAGTTTATTAGCTTGCTTGATTTCTCAATTGTTGGATAAGTTGAGTTCGGTACGGCCAAATTAAAAGTAAGGAGGGGGCATACTTCCAATGGCAATGCCATGAAAGAAGAAACATGCTCCCTCCTTTCTTTGGTACACTTTTTGTTCGCCTATACCTAACTCAAGTTACCCAACAACTTAGAAATCAATCAAAAAAAGAAATAAAAGGGTAATCAAACACAAATTCCAATATAAATTAAACAACACAAAAGAAAAGTACAAAAATTATCAATTTTTTCAAGAGTGCTGCTATTTTCACCCTCTTGTCCTATTTTCTCACCCACCTTATCTTTCCACCCACCATGTAAATTTGAAAAAAAACAATCATATTTTCCCACCCATATTTATTCCTAAGATACCCTTTCATTGTTAATTCAACTAAAACCCAAACAAACCCAGCAACCTCTTCTTATTCTTCTTTAATCACAATTCTAAACAAATCCCGAAAGACACCCTTTAGTCCCAAGCCCCTACAGCATGCCCTTGCTTTCATTGAAAGCATGCTAGCCTTCAACCCCCTGCCAATCCAAAACCCAATAACTCTTTTGAGTTATTCAACCTAAAACCATACCAAACAACAAACCAAAGAAAAATAAAGAATCTTTTAATTCATTGGGGTGGTTGTTGAGAGGAGGGATGAGAGAAATAAGGATAAAAAAGGAGGAGGGGGAGGGTGGATGGGTGCGTGGGGAAGATATATAAGACAGATAGTGTGGGGAAAGGGGGAGGAGAGAGGGAGGGGGGGGTGGGGTGGGGGAGGGGGGGGGGGGGGGGGGGGGGGAGAAGAGAGAAAATAAGGAGAGTGGAGGTTCGGATGTGTGGTTGGGTGGTGGGGCGGTCGGGGATTCTATAGCAATGTTTTCACCAAGTTAGGTCTGTAGATAGAGAGAAATATAGAGGAAAAGAGGATTTGTCGGTGGGCGGGGGAGGGGTTGCTGCTGGCGAGATGGGATGGCTGACAAGTCGGGTGGGTGTGTGAGGGAGATTTGGTGGTTGTTGGGTTTTTATTTTTTTTAAATATTTAGTTTTTGATTTTTTTTAGTTATTGAACATGTGTCTAAAAATTTGATAGTCCTTAGAAGTCATTTTACAAATGGATAAATTTGTCTATAAAATTTTGAAAATAAGGTGGATGGGGAAATATGACAATTAGGTGGAAATAGCGGCACTCTTTCTTTAACCATATAGGTCCTCTAAAATCTGAAAGAATGAAGCATAAGTTTCGTAATGAAGAGTTTACCTGATAGCAAGCTTCAGCTTAGAGGAACACCCACCTAAATAAAAAGATACCAAATTTCCATTCCAACATGAATCTATGGTGGATTTGTATTATGTTACTGTAACCTCTTGCATCTCTCATAGGTAATAACTACCCAAAACCCTAAATGATTACATAATTAAACTTTATTTTTCATACTTTGGTATCTTTAAACATTGAATTCTAGTTCCGTCTCTCGCTAAAATAAATCATGAATGTTGATTGTGCCATCTGTTGCCATATTTTTTATATTATTATTTAGCATTCAAATGACATTTATTTCATGACAAATGACATCTAAAGTTGAATGATCAATTCCCTACATCTAAAACTGAATGATCATCCACTTTACTTCAATACTCATAGTAGGTATATCTCTCAATTAGCATGTATGTATGAAATAGATGAAAATATCACACAAAATAGATGAACCCATACTTAATCATTTGCATGATACTAGAAAAATGAAGTGTAAAAAAAAAAACAAAAACAAAAACAAAAACCAAACAAAATCCAGCATGCAAGTTCAATAACATATAGTATATGAGAATTTATTAATAGGATAAAAGATTGATAATGGATATGGTATATATTTTGGTGGATATTGTTCGACTCCTTTTCTGTAAAGAGATGCTCTTTATTTATGTGAATCATAGTTTGACACATATACAAAAATAATTTATAAAAAATATAAAAATAAAAACTTATACATACATATCACATACTGCCATCGACGGGACTTATATGGTTGGATAATCTTGTCAGTCAAGTTCTAATTAATTAACAAACAAATAGCCTCCAAAAGAAAATATCTACTTTAAATCAAAACGACTGAGATTCCTTTCTAAATGCGTCTGGTTGTGTCTCACATCCATCCACTTTAATACTTCAATCCAGCTAAAGAATAAAGATTTCCTGTGTCTACACTTTAGGAGCAGTCAAATTTATTCCATCCCAGTTATTAATAATCAATTTGCCTACACTATATGCCAAGACTCGTGCACAGCATGGACGACATCATGATCCTCTCCACTAATCCAATGGTCATTATTAACCATCATTCATTCCCCCTAACTCACATTAATTTCCTCCTGAATTTTGCAAAGGGTAATTATTGTGCATCCGAGGTTCTGTGTTCGGACTAATGTAAACAAATTCCCACATTTTTCATTTTTGTTTATTTATGAATACCTCCCTCCATTTGAGGAGTAAAGGAAGGAGTAGGAACCCTCCAAATTGATGGACCGTCACTTTAATTTCCTTTTCTTTCTTTTATCTTTAGTAAGTTTAGACACCGAATGACCGGGGGACACAAAACGACATCACAATCTTCCAGTTTAAATTAAGGACCCTACGCCGTCGTTTAGGTAGCAGGATATAGAAATCCAACGTGGTCTGCTTTTCTTAGGGCCCGCATTGAAAGGGCTGACTCATTAGGGTCCTTGACACGACAAAATTATATCAACTCACACTCCCCCGCTATTAAATAATCAAAACTATCAAACGTTTATGTTGAAAACTAATTTTGATTAATTAAATTTAAAAAAAAAAAGACAATAATCTCTCTCTCTCTCTATTATATCATCAGTCCCTTCTCTGTCGGTCACTCACAGTCCACTCACCTCACTCTCACTGTCTGCTCTCTCCAATGGCCGCCACTTCTCTCCCCTTCCTCCTCTTCCTCTTCACGTTCTTCAAATTTTCAGCTTCGCAAACCGCCGATCAAACACTCAAGACCTTCCTTTTCCGAGTAGACAGAAACTCCAAGCCGTCGATTTTCCCGACCCATTATCACTGGTACGCATCGGAGTTCGCAGACCCACCTCAGATCCTCCACGTATACGACACCGTCTTCCATGGCTTCTCCGCATCTCTCACCCCTCACCAAGTCGCCTCCATCTCCAGCCACCCTTCAGTCCTCGCCGTGATCGAGGACCAGCGCAGACACCTCCACACCACTCGCTCCCCTCAATTTTTGGGGCTCAGAAACCAGCGCGGGCTCTGGTCCGAATCTGACTACGGCTCCGACGTTATCGTCGGAGTCTTCGACACCGGAGTCTGGCCAGAACGCCGGAGCTTCTCGGATAAGCATCTCGGTCCGATTCCCAGACGCTGGAGAGGGGTTTGCGAAACCGGAGTGAAATTCGCGAAAAGTAACTGCAACAGGAAGCTGGTAGGAGCTCGGTTCTTCATCAAGGGACACGAGGCGGCGGCCAACGCCGGCGGGGCGAGA